CTAAAGACCAAAATGACAATTTCTCCTGGACTGGCTGGGGCTACAAAAAGACCTGAAGAATTGTACAAAACTATGTTCTCTTGGAAGAAACGATTTTATATCTACCACCAGCCATTGGAGATACAGAGTTCACACTGATTGCACAGCTGATATTCAGTGTGTTGGTCTTCACAGTTCTTTTCTTTTACTCAAAATGTTATGGTAGGAGAATTTTAGGGGGAGAGGTCTCACATGCCACATGCATCCACAATATATGTACCATTTCCATGTCATTGCATTTATTACCATACCAGTAGGTTAAAGAAATTATAAAGCATGCACAAAAATATACATTTTAGCAGGAGGAGGATGAACTAAAAATAAACATAGACAGAAGTTCTTGTGCACACTCCCAAGACAGCATGATTCATTTCGGAGTCCAGTGGCACCTGGTCACTATCATCTGGGTAGGACAATGGTGGTTTCAAAGGCCATCTCGTTCTGCTACACTGCACAGCCCTGTGAGTTAGACGGCGTAGGGGCTCTTGTCTGCCCCATTTGCAGATGAGCCATCAGTCCCAAGGTACGTTATGGATGCGGGAGTCCTATCCAGTTTTCTTCTTCTGAAAGTCTCACTGTTTCACCAAGTAAGTTAAGATTAATTCTGTTTTTCTGTGTTTTTAAATCAGAACTTAAATTCCCAGGAGTATAAAGAAGGTAAAAGACATGAAGGTGTGTTTCTGGGCCTTGACACAGCTGGGTGTAAACACTGTTTATTCTTTCTGGCTTTCAACATTTATTAAACATTAAAGTTTAAAATTAACGTTTTACAATTCAAAATATACATGCATAACTTGTTTGTAAAAATGATGTCCATCATCAAAAATAAAGCCCTTTGACTATCATCTTCAATTATATTTTTTATTTAAAAAATTTTTAATGTTTTATTCATTTTTGAGAGAGAGAGAGAGAGAGAGAGAGACAGAGCATGAGCAGGGGAGGGGCAAAGAGAGAAGGACACAGACTCTGAAGCAGGCTCCAGGCTCTGAGCTGTCAGCCAAGAGCCTGACGCGGGGCTTGAACCTACAAACTGTGAGATCATGACTTGAGCCAAAGTTGGATACTTAACCAACTGAGCCACCCAGGTGCCCCCATCATCTTCAGTTCTGAATCTCTTCTCCTTCCCACGTAATGGCCGTTATTTCATTCAGACCTTTTCCTATGACATATTTGTACCTATAGAAAATATAGCACATTGGGTTAGTGGTTTAAAAAATTAACAGTATTAAATTATATGCATTGTTCAACAGCTTATCTTTATTCATAAACATTTGGGGCTGTTTCCACATTTTCTCCACTACAGGCAATGCCATGATGCAGGGCCTGCCCGGGTCTACTCTTGTGTGTCTTTCTCCACGAAGCTGCTGAGAAGTCATTTTGCAGCACCGTATGTGAAAGTGCATGTTTTCCTCACCGACTTGAGACACTACCAATCCCCGAAGAATAGGTCTGCAGTGGGATTTCTTTGATCCACTCAACTCTTCGGAATCCAAACCTGTTTTCATTATCATAGCTCTCCAATGTGTCTTGACACCTGGTAGAGCAATTTGTTCCTTTGCAAGAAAAAAAGCGTATTCTTCTGTATAAATTGTATAATTAGCTTGTCAATTTCCATCGAAAGTATTGAGATTCGGGTTAAGGCTGCTGCATCGCATCTCTAGATAAATCTGGGGTGTGTTAACACCTTTACAGTATTGAGTCTTCTGTTCCATAAATATATTGCTCTCCATTTGTTCAAGGTTTACTTTACTAAAGACCTTGCACAACTCTTGTTCGGATTATTTCTAGGTACTTTTGTTTTCCCTTGCTGTTCTGAATGGGATCATTTTCCTTTTATACTTGTTTGTTAGATATTTATAAGCTGATAGGAAAATTACTAATTTTGAGATGTTGATCTTGGTTCTAATACTTTGTCCCCATCTTGAACCCAGCCACTGCCTCTGGTCACCGGTGCTCCTGTGGCCACTGCTGCTACTCAATTTGTTCCATCACTTCTGCCATCCTCACCAGGAAGCACCCCCAATCGCATGTCCTTTCTTCAGCCAAACCCGATATAATGAAGCTTAAAAAAAAAAAAAAAAACATCTGACAGTTTTGTTTTTAAAAAGTGATTTTGGTTCCAGAAGTTTCTTTCTTTTTTTTTTTAACGTTTATTTATTTATTTTTGAGAGAGACAGAGAAAGAGAGAGAGTAGGGCAGAGGCAGAGAAAGAGGGAGACAGAATCTCAAGCAGGATGCCTGCTGTCAGCACAGAGCATGACCCACAAACCATGAGATCGACTTCAGCTGTAACTGACTAAGCCACCTAGGTGCTTTGGTTTCAAGAGTTTGATAAACCAATGTAATCTATGTTGTAACTGTGTTCGTCCAGTGTGCCCAAATGGAGATCTGCAATTTTCTGATGAGAATATGCAAAAAGGTTGCTTGGCTAACTTGGAAGGTGTTTATGAGCTCTTCCACATAAAATTCATATCTACTTGTCACAGCTTACTATACATATATATTAAAAATATTTTCATGATGTCAGCTTAGAATTTTTCCACTGTAAGTTTTCATGAAATAGTCTTATTCAAACTCCACTTGCAGTTCAAAATCAGAGACCTCATGAGCCGATTTTTTGAGGCATCACATATTACCTTCACTTCTAAATGGTTTCTAAGTGAGATATAACACTGCTTAAATCTGTAAGTGATGTGGCCACTGGAAATTTTATCCCCCCAAATAAGTGTCCTTTGTGTAACATCAGAGTTTTTCTTCTTCTTGTAGCAGTATATTTATGATCTCGACAGAATAAGTACTTAATGCATTTCTAATGTAAACTTCACAGAATAACCCATATGAAAAAAAGTATAAATCTTAAGTGGATGGACTGGTGCGTTTTCAGAGTGAACACACTCATGGAGCAAGCTCCCTGATAAAGTAAGAGAGCCTCACCAGCTCCCTAAATGCCCTTTCATGCCACCTTCCGGATCACCTCTCCCAAGGGCCCCACCCCTCCGGGGAGAATCGCCGGGGAGGGACATGCATGTTCCATCACAGCAGACCCTGCCTGCTACACTCCCGCTCGCAGGCCACCATATAGCCTCGCCAACACTTGGGATTTCTGCTCTCCTAACTTTAGCCCTTCTGGTGGGTGTGCAGTAGTATTGTAGTTTTTATGTGCATTTTCTTGGTCTTAGGGAGTTAAGCACATTTTCATGGGTTTATTAGGCATACTTACATTCTATTTCGGGAACTACCCATTCGAATCTCTTGGCCATTTTACATCTTTAAAAAAAAATGAACTCAGGGACCTCTTTAGATATTCTAGATACAAACTCGTTATCAGATACGTGTTTTGCAAGCAACTCCATCCACTTTATGGCTTGCCTTTTCAGTCTCAATGGTGGCTTCAGAGTATTGCATTCTTTCTTAAAGGGATCATAGAGAGTTTTACAACATCTATAACCCAGGAAATGTGTCGATTCATTTGCCTTCTTTTATACCTGATTCTGTCAGGTGCCTTTTAGAAGCACACAAAACTAGCATTAGGAGATCATTGTTAGGTTACTGTTTTACTGTGAAGTCATCGAGGTAATGTGAGCGACACTGAGAGAGAATTATTTCTGGTGGGGGAAACATCTTACATTTAGGCATATATAAGAACTCATCCTTCCCCAGGCCAGTCTTTGCAGCACAGAATAGTGAGCTTAAATTTACTGGTTTCATATATATCCCTGCCAGTCAATTCTGTGTTGTGAAAGACTTTGTTTTATTACAGTTATCATTGGCTAGATGTCAGCAATTATTTACTGAACATTTGAATGTTTTGCACTTACCTTGCAAAAGGGCAAAGCAATCATTTTCCTATAATGTTGAGCCAACTTGGCAGAGTATAGCTCCCAGTCATTCAATCAAACACTAATCTAAGTATTGCTATTAAGGGGTTTTGCAGATATAATTCAAGTCCCTAATCAACTGACTTTAAATAAGGAAGATTGTCCTGGATTAAACGGTGGGTCTAACCTTATCAGGCTTTAAAAACAAGGCTGAGGCTTGCTCCAGACAGGAAATCCCACCTGTGGGCAACGGTTTCTGCCCACAACTGTGGGGGTCCCATCCTGCTCATGAGCCTCGCTTCCTGCTGGCCTGCCTTACAGACTGTAAACCTGCTGAGCCAGCCCCCACAATCACAGAGACCAATTCCTTATATAAAAAAACAACTCAATCTCCTACTAGTTTTGCTTCTCTGATTAAATCTGCAACTAATACAGCGATCTTGTAAGTACACGACTGCTTTTCTTTACAAAGGAGTTACCAACAACACGCACTAACTTTGTGCATTAAATGATCTTATTAGAGGACACGAGACTGTTTAGACTGAAACCGTTTTGTGTAGCTCACTCTGGGGCTCAATCTTGGCTACTGATATTTCAGTAGCACTAACTTAAGAAATTTTAGTACAATTGAATACACATTTAAATAGTACTGATTTTATAACTTTCAGAACCTGATGGCTTCTTCAATGACCATATAACATGCATTCATATCAAATTTTTAAAGCGTAGAATCTTTGTGAAACAGGTGAAAGGGACGAAGAGTACACTTATCTTGATGAGCACTGAGTAATATACAGAAGTGTTGAATCACTATATTGCACACCTGAAACTAATACAATACTCCCAAGTTAATTACACTGGAATGAAAAAAAATTAAATGTATAATATTCATGCTTCTCCAATAGGAAAATGTCTCTAAAGTAATCTGGGGATCTGGGGCGCCTGTGTGGCTCAGTAGATTAAGCATCCAGCTTCAGCTCAGGTCATGATCTCAGTTTGTGAGTTTCAGCCCTGCGTTGGGCTCTGTGCTGCCAGCAGGGAGCCCACTTCCAATCCTCTCTCTCTCTCTCTCTGCATCCTCCCCTACTCTTTCTCCCCTCCCAAATAAACATTAAAAGAAATAAAATAATCAGACTTCATCTGTCATGTTTCAAAATGAGTTTATTCATATTAAGTTCTGAAAAGGAACACAATTTGGTATTTACAAAGAGACTGATTACTTTTCCTTGGTGAGCTCACCAAGCTAAATTTCTGCATGTAAATACAGGAAAATATCTGTTTACAGAAAGAAATGAAGCAACTTTCTTTACATAGAGCTATTTTCAGATTGAATCTTATTTAATTCTTATCTCTTGAGAAATCCCAGAAACCAATGTCCAAAATATTTGGCTTAACAGATAAGAAGAGAAGTCTCATTGGATTGGATTTAGGAAATCTTGCTTCTAATCTTAGTTGTCCCACAAATAACTGTGTAATGATGGGGAATTTAATCTTTCTGAGCCTACTTCCTTATTCAACAACAGATAGTTACTAAATGCCTCCTAGAAGCCAAGTAGTTGGCAGACACTAGCGATAGAACAATAAACATAATGAAGATAGTCCATGTCTTCACAGACTTCAAGTCTGGAAAAGTGAGGGGTTTAGGCCAAATTACTGCTAAAACCAGTTCCTGAGTTAACACTCTATGATTTAAATGGGATTATATTCATATTCTGTGGCCTGAGGTTAGTACAACAATGACCTTGAGAAAGCTGTATTAAAATTATTTCCCAACACTGGTAAACTAACTTTTAAATCAAAAGCAGGTTTTATATATTCATTCAGAAAGTGATTCAACTATGGAATGACACATGCCATTTTTAGCACAATGAAATCCAATGTATTGAAATCATTTTTCTCAGCAATTCTGTTTATTACAATTTTATAATCCTGAACAGATTCTCTTATCTGAAGTTTTTCATGCATTCAGGTATTTTGCATGATGTCTGATGTGATCAGTAATAAATGTTGCAATGAAGTAGTAGCTATGATCATAACCCTAGAAGACAAAAGAGAGAAATGTAAGCTATTTTCCACTCAGAAACATCATGGACATTAAACATCTCTCTCATCTCATTTAATTTTCTGTAAATAGTGAAAATATCACAGTATAAGGAAGGCTTATAATCGAAATCAAGCTTAGGGGCACCTACATGGCTCAGTCAGTTAAGTGTCTGACTCTTGACTTTGGCTCAGGTCATGACCTCATGGTTGTGAGATTGAGCCCTGTGTTGGGCTCCCAACTGGTGTGGAGCCTGCTTACGTTCTCTTTGCTTTGGCCCCTCTCCCCAGCTCATTCTCTCTCTTACTCACTCAAAAATAAATAAAGTCAAGCTTATACTTGTACTTCAACATTTCCTCTGAACATTATAAGAACAGCAAAAATATGTAGAAAAATAAACATTCTGCATAGCTTAGTTTCTAGATGCTGCCATTAACATGCAAAGAGATGAAATAATACATTAATTAAATGTCCAGGATATACAGGTGGTCACATCAACAAGGCCTAAAAGAATGAGAACTTATTTTTTATTATTATTTTTTTAATGTTTTATTTATTTTTGAGAGAGAGATAGAGACAGCATGAGCAGGGGAGGGTCAGAGAGAGAGGGAGACACAGAATCCGAAGACAGGCTCTAGGCTCTGAGCTAGATACCAGCACAGAGCCCAACGTGGGGCTCAAACCCAGAAAACCGTGAGATCATGACTGAGCTGAAGTCGGATGCTTAACTGAATGAGCCACCCATGCGCCCGAAGAATCAGAATTTAAAGAAGTCAGAAACATAGGCAAGAAGTTTCAACTCACAGAAGAAACACATTAATGTCGATATGACAGAAAATATTAAAATACAAAATAAGCACACATAACCAATATAAAGAACACAAAAACACCCAAATGGTCAAACATTTGGGAAGTTAAACACAGCCATCATAAAGTTTTGTTAAGAATTCCTCTTACTACACAATAAAAGTCTATCACATCATTATTTGAGGAAAAAGGAAAAATTCATTAAACCCAGACATCTCTTAGCAATAAACCACACTGGGGAAAAAGCCAATAAACTGTTGTGAAAACAATTATGAGACATAGAGAAAATGTAATATGTCAAGCAGCTGAGTTGGAACAGATCTCAAACTACCTGATCTCAAACCAGATGACATAGGAGCGCCTGGGTGGCTTAGTCAGTTAAGTGTCTGACTTTGGCTCAGGTCATGATCTCATGGTTCCCAAGGTCAAGCCTGAGGAGGGCTCTCTGGTTGTCAGTACAGAGCCTGCTTCAGATCCTCTGTCCCACTCCCTCTCTCTTCCCCTGTCCTGCTCTCTCTCTCACAAAAATAAATTAAAAAATTTAAAAACACCCCCACCAATATAGGTCAATGGAGAGGCAATGCCCTAAGGGGCACCTTGAATACAAGAGGCTTTTGAAATGAAAAAGAAAAAAAGTCAAGGTGGGAAGAACCTAAGGGGGTTAAATAGCAGATAATTTGGGGGCAGTCTTCCTTCCAAATCACAATGAAGACACAGAATGGAATAAACTGAAAGGACATAAAAGTCTAAGAAAGATTTTTAAGATTTTAGCTGAATCTTGTGAATCGTCTCTGATGGGAGAAAGTGGGAATTTTCCTAAGCGCTTAAGAACCAAAAAGAGCCCTAATAAAAATATTACCTGGGTTTCAAGGAACAAGCTAAATCCCTACGGTTTTGTTGAATCAATATTCCCCGCCTCTTACTCCCAGAGGAATGCAGTGCATGTTATCTCGGAAACGGCAGTTAATAAAGAGTTCTAGTTTAAATTTATCAAAGCAACATAAAAGCACTGTCTTCTATGGTGGCCGAACCATAGAAATGAATGTGACAGGAATGCTGTCAAAATTAAGGCTGACCTTTGGAATTTGGCTTCACATTTCTCAATGATTAGACGAGGCCCAGTTAATTAGTTCAATTTAGAGCTAAACAACAATATCTTACGTAGAGAAAAAAAACTTGAAGAAAAGCATTTTCCACTCATGGAATTCTTAAATTGTTAACAGGTTAAACAGGTCCATGATTTTCAATCGACAAACTGTAGGAAGTATAGTACCAAGTAGTACCTGCTGGTTTTTAACAGAGGAAATGATGTTATCTGATTGAAAACAGGCACGGATGCAAGGGAATGGATGCCCCAAACACTTGTGCAGCCAAGTCCCTACAGTGACTGAAGATGCTGTATTTTTATGCAGCTTCACGGATGTTTAATGCCTTGTACAGTTTCATACACCATAGTGGGTGGCCATTATTATTATTTATTATTATTATTATATTAGAGAAGTCCTAGGGTAAAACAGTTATAATTTTGTAACCTCTCAGGGGTGTACTGCAAAAATACAGTATATTTTATCTAAAATACAAAACCAATGTCCTTAACTTCCATAATGGTGTTTCACAGAAGATCCACCTTTACGAGAAAATACAAAATGCCTACCGTGACACACCAAGAAAGATTTAAAGGCAGGACAACATATCTGAACTACTGGCATTCTGGTGCACAGAAGATCCTTATATAATTTGAGCAAATTGTGTCATTCTTGACTAGTTCTGCATTCTATTTATCGATATTATTACATGGGGGTGGGTCCTTTCATCACATTTTTTGAACTGGCTTGGTTTGTTAGGCAGCACGCACAATTACATATACCCAGCGACACTTGAAAGAGCCTTAGTTTCCTCTTGTACCTCTCACTTCACATGGAAAAATCATCAGTAGGAAAACTCTCTGAGTATAAAAATAAATGAGCACATTTCTTTCATTCTTCACTGGGCTCTCAAAAAAGCAGCAATGCTCCAACAGCTATGATGAACATTTGTCTTAAAGGGCAGTGTTTTCCTATATATTTTCCAGTCTTGACTAGAAAGGCACATATATGAATCCCTGGGTCATTGAGTCTCTTCAGAAAGCAAAGAAGACTGTGGAAAAGTAGTCACTTGTTTATTCAATAAGCACTTCCTGGGAGTCTGTGTGTTGGATAATGGTGCTGAGTATGAGGATACAGGGACACGTGAGAGATCCTTGCACTTCTGGAATTCTGGGTTGTGTCCTTACTGTTCTCTTACAGACAGCACAGAGGCCAAAACCACCTATGAATCTTCAAAAAGGGTCTGAGACTTGAAGAGATAGTATATAGCCTTGCTTCAATGTTGTTTCTGGAAGTTTCCATTAGGTCACAGAAAATTTTTCCTCACAATGTAACTTTAATAACAGAAAATTAGACATATGAGGCTTTGGGGTAAGAGCTGATCGTTGTTTACTATCAGGACTCTGCTATCTAGTGCTTTTTCAATTTAGATCTGCTGAAGCCAAAAACAGAAAAGGAAAAATTCTATTAGGTGATAATCATACAAATATCCCTATGCACCACTTAGCTCTCAACCTTTTTTTCTGACAGTAGATAGTGTATAAAAAAAGACTCTGAGCAAACACCAAAAAGAAGTAAATAAACAAAGTTGGGTACATCATGTACATAAGTATAATAATTTTCTTTCTCCTCAGTTCACATACTTCGATATAGACCCCAATTTTTTCAGCTTACTTACTTCTTAACCACTCCCATTTCAGTTTATAAGCAAATGATAGGGCAGGTAAAAGTCTCAGACCTGAGGTAATAACTGAAGTCAGCGGAAGTTGGCCTGAAAACCTGAAAGCAACTCTGCCAAAGCTGGCGCCAGTCATGTCTACTCAGCTGCTCACTGAATTCTAACAAGCCTACACAAAACCTTCAGACTGTAGTCCTTGCTGGAAGGACAGTGAATGAAAAAGCGTACCTGAGCTAAAGATCGTGGCTGGTTATTTCAAAACTTTCTCCACCCCCCCTCCCTTTTTTTGTTTTTAGAATTGAACGTTTTGTCTTGACTCTTCATTAAATACACCCAACTATGTTTTTTAGTTGCTTGGGATAGAAGCATTCAGAAATAAAAAGCTTCTTTATTTTTTCCCCTCTAAGAATTTCATCAGTGTTTTACATCTATGCTGTTTTTATAACAAACTCTACAGAGATTTGTCAGTCTCTGTTGGCAGGCTGAAACTTTGCTGGTGGTGATAACAACACACTTTCCCAGCACAGCCTCGCAGGGGCAAGAAGAGGCATCCAACATGGCTAGCGCCAAGAAATCGTTTGGAACGAAACGGCTGGTTATAGCTATGGTTTGTTTATACAGTTAAATGCACTACTTTATAATCAAATTAGTATTTGGATTTCTCAAATTTGGTTATTGATCTAAAACAGGCAATTCAAGTGATTAAATGTTCAAGTGTTTAATCTAAGTAAGCCCTATTACTTAAAGATGGACACTCAGAAAAAAACCAATATATTGGTTTTTGACATAGTTTTCCACATGACATAACAATATATTTATATAAAAATTGTTCACATGTTCAAAATATTAGGGAAATTAGAAACACAGGAAGATTGTTCAGATCTGTTCATGAGTTAAACAGAGAGGAGGCTGTGCACAGGTTCTCTTTGTGCTGACTAATTCTACCCCTCTGCTGCTCAGGAGCACTGCTTCTCATGCTTGGGATTGGTTAGATGGAAGAGAGGACAAGTATTTTCACTCACGTGATCTTGCTTCCAAATCTGGTTCTACTGTGAACTAGGTGTGCAACCTGAGGATATGTAGGTTGCTTTTCTGAGCCTGTAAAGTAGAGGGACAGGAGCTCTATATGAAAACCCCCAGCAAACATCACACTAAATCGGGGGAAAGCTTTTCCTCAAAGATCAGGAACAAGACAAGGTGCCTACTTCTGCCACTTCTATCCCACACAGTACTGAAGTCCTAGCTAGAGCAATTAGGCAAGAAAAAGATAAAAGGCATACAAATTGAAAAGAAAGAGGTAAAATTATCTCTGTTCACAGATGATCTGATCTTCTATGTAGAAAACCCTAAAGCCTCCAAAGCAGCGGGATACTAAAGCAACACACAAAAATCAGCTGCATTTCTATACACTAACAATGAACAATGTAAAAAGGAAATTATGAAAGTGATTCCACTTATAGGAGGTATTCAGAGTAGTCAGATGTACAGAGAAAGGGAATTCTGGTTGCCAAGGTTTGGGGGCAGGGAGGAACGAAGACGTAGTGTTCACTGGGTATAAAGTTTCAATTTTACAAGATAAACGAGTTACGAAGATGGGCCGTGGTGACGGCTGAGCAACATTATGAATATTTGTATTAGCAAAGATGTGCACATTCAAAAGTAGCTAAGATGGTAAATTTCATGTATGGTACTGTGCCGCAACAAAAAAGCTGGAAAAAAAATGAAAGGACAAATAAAAAAGAACAGATGGAGAGGATAGGAAGGGTCTCTCAAAGGGGCGCCTGGGTGGCTTAGTCGGTTAAGCGTCCGACTTTCGCTTAGGTCATGATTTCGCGGTTCGTGGGTTCGAGCCCCGCGTCGGGCTCTGTGCTGACTGCCAGCTCAGAGCCTGGAGCCTGTTTCTGATTCTGTGACTCCCTCTCTCTCTGACCCTCCCCTGCTCACGCTGTCTCTCTCTCCTAGAAATAAATAAAAACATTTAAAAAAAAAAAAAAAGAAAAAAAAAAGGAAGGGTCTCTCATGGGGTCACATAGAAATAAAATGACCTAATGCTGTGAAAACATTTTGAAAGCTGTAACGTACCACATTATACATTGATCTAGATGTATCTGGACATTTATCATCGTAATTACACATTTCAGATCAAAGTGTTTGACACATTACCCTTGAACATGAATAAAAATATTTTTAAAAATCATAATCATTGTGGGGCACCTGGGTGGCCCAGTCAGTTGAGCATCTGATGCTTGATTTTGGCTCAGGTAATGATCTCAGGTAGTGAGATTGAGCCCCGTGTCAGGCTCTGTGCTGTGTGGAGACTGCTTAAGATTCTCTCTCTCAAGAAAATTAAATAAAACTCAAAAAAGAATCACAATCACTTATAATTTGCAGTGTTCACTTTTCATCATGAAATATTTTGTTTATATTATATTCTGAAGCTTATAAATAAGTAATTTTTTTAAAAACAAAAGCAGAATTCCTTTAATTATAACTATTAGCATAGACTCAGGTGAGTAGTGGATAACCAAGTCTTTTGGTCAAGGAAAACTTGCCAACCAAGTGAAATTCAGTAATTCTTCTTCTTCTTTTTTTTTTTATTGTTTATTTGTGAGAGAGACAGAGCATGAATGGGGGTGGGGCAGAGAGAGAAGGAGACACAGAGCCTGACATGGGGCCTGAACCCAAAACCGCGAGATCATGACCTGAGCCGAAGTTGGATGTTCAACAGACTGAGCCACCCAGGCATCCCCCCCCACCCTTTTTTTGATATAAACGCAAAGGCTGCATTGGCCCAGAAATTCAGTAATTCTTATTAAATAACAAGAAATACCAAGCAGCACAATGGCTAGATTAGCACCTAACTCAAAACATATAAGGTGCATATATGTGTGAGACAAACAGTTCACAGCCTCTGAGGCTAAGGTGAACATGAAGTAATTAAAATGGAAGCTTATTCTTGTTATTTACTGTGACAACAGCTGCATGTGTAAAGAAAGATGTATCCAGTAATGTTGCAAATTTAGTACTATTCAAACATGAACCTTCTTGTTATTCAACGGTTGTTACGACTGGTTGTATGACAGGCCAGACAAAAACTTGTAAATGCTTTTCACTGCCAAAGGCTTTCCTTTTTCTATGGAATTTGGTCTTAGACATCAACTTAAGCAAAAGGCTTTCATTTTAAGTGTCTTATAATTAAAAAAAAATCTTACTAGGGATAGTTTTCCAAATTCCAAAATATAAAGTATTATAGAATCTTGCCTTTTTTTTAAAGCATTTTTTTGAGAGAGAGAGAGAGAGAGAGAAAGAGAGAGAGCAATAGCATGTGATTGGGGGAAAGGCAGAGGCAGAGGAAGAGAGAGAACCTTATGCAGGCTCCAACGCCCAGCGTGGAGCCCAATCTCATGACCAGCCATTAGATCATGACCTGAGCCAAAATCAAGAGTTGGGTGTGGAACTGGCTGAGCCCCCAAGGTGCCCCAGGAATCTTGCTTTCTTATAGTTACTTGGAACAAGCTGAGGTTTCTTGGGACCCACCTCTTGTAATCTAAAAACAACAGGGACTTTCTTTTCCGTACAGGCAGCTATAAAGTTATCAGGTAGTAACTGTCCATCTGAAAGGAACTGGTCATCTTTCCCTTGATCGATTAGTATGTCCAGCTGAGAACCTGGGTAGGACTTCACAAGATGGGTTGCATCATAAGCCTAGAAGAAGAAAAAATACTGAAAAATAAATTTGAAAGTACCCAGAAAGATATTCTTCAGAATAGACCACAGTAGAACCAAACAGAAATTTAGTCATTTGAGCTCTAAGGCTTAGAAAACGCTTGCCTGGTTTTTATTTACAAGGTCTTCAGAATTCTATGTCCCGGTTATAGCCTCTTTTCTACTTCCAGGCAGTCCTGAGTCAGCGGCAAGAATTCTGAATCTCAACATTCTTCATAGATAGCCTTTTTTGTTTTAAATCTTTGAAATTCTTAATCACACAAGAGTCACAAGTTGACTCTTTCTTCTAACTCCCTTATCTTTTTCTATTTCCAAATACTCTCTATTTCAAATAGTCTATTTTGTTGTCTTTTCTTTTTGTCTCTAATTTCAGAAATAAGTACATTCTGCTTTCTCTTTTATGGTCTGTTGAATAGCACCAAATATCTGCTATCCCCATAAGCTTTCAGGAAGATTTAATTTAAATAATCTGAAGCATATAAACACCTCCACAAATTAATGCTTTCAGGAGCTGCCACTAGGTAGAATTTCATATTTTATTATCCACCTTTAAGTATTCTTGATTATTCATATATATTCACTAGCCACAACTTCTATACACCAATCAAGACAAACAAAAACCCAAAGATTTCCCCTTCTAAAGTATCATGCTTCTTTAATCTTAATAACGAGAGAGAGGAAGGGCATCTATAAACTCCAACTAGTTCTAAGTTTGGTGATTTCATGATTCTCCATGGGCTCCTTATTCCAGTGGTAAATTAAATAATAGCCTAAACACAACATAATTAATGTAGTAAAATCTACTGCCACTTGGAGAAAATTACAGACTCATTTATAGGTTACCTGTGTCTCTACCTCTCCCTTCCTTTCTCCCAACTAATGGGTCTTTTACTCAATGCTTCTATCAGACCCTAAGCCCCGTGTGGATGGGAAAGGTGATCACCTTTGTGAACTAAGATTTCAGAACTCCACACAGGCTCTGCACAGTGGCAGGGATTGCAAACACTGAAGTATGTGCACTGTTGGCTCTCAAAGTACCTAACGGTAATCATGTTCTGCATTCTTCCACTGTAATAAAAATCTAAGCCCAAGCAAAACACAATTCTAATCTACTGACTACAGGATTAAACCCCCAATTTGTTAGAATTTCAATGACCAGTCTTAAATAAAATTGAGTGAATGACCTGGAACACACAACAGTAAGACAAAAAAGTTTTTCTTATCCGCCCCCCAGCAAGTATTTCCTACTTGTTAACATGCATATGATGATGAGTGCATTTGCAAAATATTCAGACTCTTGGTGAAGTTCGCAATAGTCTATTTCTGCACAAAAGTCAAATGAGTCTCCAGAGAAAGTGCCGTTTTTAATTTTCATTTTGAAGCATCTGCTCCCATGCTTGAAAAAGCAATCTTGCTTTTGGGAATGTTCACGTAGATGTACATTACACAATATCTATTTTTAAACTTTTTTAAGTCTGGAATTGAAACTCTCAGTCTGAGAGATTCTGGAATTGAAACAGATGCATAAAACAATTAAAAGGGCGGGACTCACGGTTTCTGATGTACAACTGAGCACATGGTTAAGACGCATATCTAAATTTAGTGATAAAATGTAGTATTTTTGGTAATGTTACTTAAGAAATAAACATATATTGTCAGCAGAAAAAAAAAGTAGTCTCAGAATGTCTGCCACAACTCAATACAATTTGAGAAAGGGCTTTTTTGTTGTGGTTATTATTATATGTATATCCTTGGGTTAACTGTTTTTTAGCTCTGGATCTTTGAGTGAGCTAGAAAGATAATGCCTGTGGTGTGTCGCTTTTTCACAAATCTGAAAACATAAAAATGAACATGAAGACAGCCTTCCCAATACCTACCTTCCATTTATTTTGATCAGTTCCCAAATATCCACCGAAGGCTTTTTTGCCCCAAGGACAGAGCATTGGGTTGCAAATGGGAGCAAATGCTGACACAGACTTCAGAAACAAAGGAAATTTAAAAACAAGTTATATTTTGCAAAATCCAACAGGAACAAATCTTTGCAACTTGCTTAAAAACTCAAAAGTTTACTTGCAATTTGCTTATAAACTCTGTATGCCACGAAAACTACTCATAAACAATTTCCTGTGGGCTCTCTCAGGCAGTGAGCCTGCAGTCCTGTCCATGATAACATCTCCCGTGTGTTCTAGTAAGACAGCTAATTAACCGTAGATGCCAATACAATGAAAAGCAATACATTATATTTTCATTAAATAAGGCATAAAACCAAGTTTACGTTCAGACTTCCTACTCATTTTTTCACTTAAAAGTAACGCATAGTAATATAAAACAGTTTGTGCCTACTTTTGTGAACAGGTTATTAAATCTGAGACACATTCTCTTTAAAAAGGGCCAAGAAAGCACTGAACAATGCCCTTAAATATGGCAGAATTTTAGTATAATGCAATTTTGGATTCTAAGCAATGTTTTCTCTTTCCTTCTTTCCTTCCTTCTTTCCTTCTTTCTTTCTGTCTGCCTTTCTTCCTTCCTTTCTTTCTTTCAAGTTTATTATTTATTTTGGGAGAGCGAGAGAGCGGGAGAGAAAGAGCATGAGTATGCAAGCCTGCGAGGGGAGAGAGATCTCAAGCAATCTCCTCTCAGTGCAGAGCTTGACATATTGGGCTTGATGTCACAAACTGTGAGACACTTAACCGACCGAGCACCCTTTGCAATGTTGTTTTTCCCTGGGTAAGTGTCACAGATGGAATCGCACTGTTTCAAAGCACTTATCACTGTAGATTTATCAATGTCTACTGCCTTTTTTTTTTTTAATGTTTTATTTATTTCTAGGAGAGAGAGACAGCGTGAACAGGGAAGGGTCAGAGAGAGAGGGAGTCACAGACTGAAACAGGCTCCAGGCTCTGAGCTGGCAGTCAGCACAGAGCCCGACGCGGGGCTCGAACCCACGAACCGCGAGATCATGACCTAAGCGAAAGTTGGAAAGTCGGACGCTTAACCGACTAAGCCACCCAGGCGCCCCTGTCTACTGCCTTTTTTAAAGGACAAAAAAACAACTGAATTTGATTTTCTCCCTCAAACATAATAAACTGATTGCCTTATGTACAAAAATGTAAGACTATTGCATTCACTCATTCATTCATTCAATTATTTATTTAAAAAACCCACTGCCAGGACTTGAATTAAATCAACTTTATAGCAAAGCCTATTGAAAGAAAAATACTTGATGTCGCAATAATAAATGGCTGTAAGAAGTATTTTCATTTCTCAGTGGCACACCTGACATGACTAAGAAGTTCTTTCTGGGGCGCCTGTGTGGCTCTGTCGTTTAAGAGTCCGGCTTCAGCTCAGATCATGATCTCACAGTTCGTAGGTTCGAGGCCCATGTCGGACTCTGTGCTGACACCTAGCTCAGAGCCTGGAGCCTGTTTCAGATTCTGTGTCTCCCTCTCTCTGACCCTCCCCTGCTCACGCTGTCTCTCTTCTCTCTCAAAATAAATAAAACATTAAAAAAATTTTTTAAAAGTTCTTTCTAAGGGAAGGAAACAGATTAAACAAATCGTGAGGTATCTGACAGCGCTGTGATTTTAAAGACAGAAGCAATCCTGAGATGATCATTGCTTCAGCATTCCCTTTCTAAACAGGATGGTATACTGCTCTGCCAGTAAGACATTCTATACACGGTGGTTATTCCAACTTGGCTCATTTAAACAACAAAAAAGTAAAGCTATAGAGTTTCAAATAAATGAATGGAAAGACTGAAGATGTTATCAGTTACGCTACAATCCAGTTTCCATCCAAGGCACTGAGAAGAGAGAATTCTTAACTTTTACAAATCATGAATATCTTCTTCCCTCAGAACATCTAAGTTAACTTAACAAATATATTTTCTGGGAAAAATATGACATATACTGCCACAGTAACAAGAATAAGCTTTAGGGAGGAAAAAAGTCGAGAAAACTACAGTTTAAATAGAATTCAATAGAAACTGCTTTATAATAGTTTTTGTTAGACCAAAGGTGATAGAATTCCTATACTTCTGATTCTGGAGCATATAACTGTGTGTTCAATTTAATGCTCTTCCCCTACAGCCCATTCCCAACACTAGGTAAGTTTAGTCCCAGTACTAATAACAATATCCTAATATCACTCTTTGAAAAGTTCCTAACTGATATTATCCAAGAGAAATACGTGTCACTGGAACCTCAGGTGATCTTACTTTGTACTTTCCAGGATTCTTCAAAGCACAAATCAGAGCTCCATGGCCTCCCATGGAATGGCCAAAAATAGACATCCTTTGGGAGTCCACTGGAAAATTGGCATTTACGAGTTTGGGAAGCTAGAGGGAATTTAATAGTACGACAAAAGGTATGAGAAATAAGTTTAGACGTTTCCAAAGTTATATAAGATAATTACACAATCAATATTTCCAAGTCAGCCTTATAATAGTATGAACTAATAAAGATGGAAAATAAAAATTTCAAGTAGACAAGGATTCTTAACATATCACTGGAGAAAACATGGTACATCCTTCTCAGGGAGCAACATATGAAGATGATACAGAAGGAACCTTTAAAATGTCTAAACTTTTGGTCTAGTAATTTCACTTCTTGGCATCTATTCTAAGGGAAAAGTCCTTAGGGGGAAAAAATGATACATAAAGACAATCAATACAGTAAAACTTAATATAGTAAAAAATACATAAATATCTTACATTAGGAAAAAGTAAATTATGACATATGATATAATATTATGCAATTATTAAGGTTATGCTACAAATAGAGTACTAGAAAATATTTGTTTTGTACAATTAAAAAAAGAACATGATAAAAAGTTTTTACAATTCTATGAAAACTAGTCATAGAAAAAAGTCTGGAATATACCAAACAGTTCTTATTAGGGGTACAGAAAAATGGGTGATTAAAGTCTTATACCACTGAGTTTTTATGATGTACATATTAGTAATTAAAATCATGGAAAATTTAGAAAAATGCATAAACTACACATAAATATTATTAATATAAGCAGTGACTTAGTTACTTATCCTTTCTAACTAAGCCTTTATAAATCATCATAAAATATGTCTGAAAATGAGTCAGCTGCCAGAGAAATGAAAAGTTTTTTTTTATATACTGTTTTCTTTGTATCATCTGGGTGGTGTATAAAAGTGTCAATATAATTACTATCCTCTTTAAAATTGTACTCAATGTTAACTTAAACTGTAGTAAGACTATTGTACAAGTAAACTTTGGAATGTTCACTAAGATAATAAATATTTACCAAAGAGAATCAATACTACCACACCCTAACTTAAAATTCTCACGACAAGAAGGACTCTTGAGTCCCAAACAAAACTACTGGCAATCATCAGTTAGTAAGTACAACATAAATGAAATTACCTCCTCAGTCACGTAAGAATACATTCTGTAGTTAGTTTTCCAAGGATCCTCAGTGGCATCCACATAAAACCCAGCACCGGTGCCAAAGTCCCAGCTCTCATCTTCTCCTTCAATATTGCAGCCCCCTAGCGAGGGAAAATCCCACGGTTTCACCTTCTCCACAGTGATGACTCGTATTTAGTAGCACACTTTTAAATGAATCTGAAAGTTCATTTGCATCTGAGCTGTTCACCAACTGTTGCAGATCTCTGCCTTTTGGAGCACACACTTCCAGGCTCTGTTGTCCCTGAGTGGGACCACGTGACTAGTTCTAGTCAATGAGGCAAGCGAGGGAATGCCCTTCCAGGCTGAAGAATTCACTGCCAAGGTGAGGCACACTGACATTTTTTGTGAATGAAATGTCCTTCTATGTATTCTTTTTTTTATTTGTTTTTAAGTTTATTTATTTTTGAGAGAGACAGAGTGTGAGTGGGGGAGGGGCAGAGAGAGAGGGACACACAATCCAAAGCAGGCTCCAGGCTCTAAGCTGTCAGCACAGAGCCCTCCACGGGGCTCAAACTCATGAACAGTGAGACCCATGACCTGAGCTGAAGTTGGTCGCTCAATTGACTGAGCTACCCAGGTGGCCCCTCTGTATTCTGAACATATGCTTCTTTACTGTTCCTTTACTGTCAAAGGGCTTATGCCCTCTATCCTTTCAAAGTGTGCTGAGATTCCTTCCCTGATGACCCCTCCCCTATTACCAATACTTCTTTTCAAGAGAAGGGAGACAAGATACTTCTTTTCAAGAGAAGGGAGACAAGATGCTTGCAGTGAGTTCACTATCTTGCACTGAAAATGCAACATATTCCTTATGTATTTTGGAATCACTCCATCATGTTTCCCTATTTATTCATCCCCTAATGGGATTTTCTTATAAACTTTTAAAATTTATTAGGTTTTATTTTATATACTTGCTTGTAGGTAAAAAGCCAACCAAGACTATTAACAGAATTACTGTAACACGTAATTTCAGGGAAGTGACCTCTTTGTAATATTCAGTTTACTCATCCAGGAATGTGACATTTTTCCATTTATTAAAGTCTTCGTTTATGATCTTTAGCGGATTTTGCAATTCTTTTAAAAAATGTATCTTCATATTTTTAATGTTTATTCCTAGGCATTTAACATTTTTGATAGTACTCTGAATTACATTTTTTTAAGTAGGCTCCACACTCAGCGTGGTGCCCAATGTGGGGATTGAACTGATGACCCTGAGATCAATACCTGAGCTGTGATCAAGAGATGGACACTTAACCAACACTTAGCCACCCAGGCGCCCCTGAATAAAATTTTTTATTACATTTCTAGTGAGATCTGCCTTGTTTTGGTGTATTATATGTCCTATGAAAGGAAATGCACTACTTCCTAAGGTCAGCCATTTATCTTCCTGATAGTTTTAGCTGCCATTTAAATTCCATTTCCAGGGGGGTGCCTGAGTGGCTCAGTCGGTTAAGCGTCAGACTTCAGCTCAGGTTATGATATCACGGTCATGGGTTTGAGCCCCGCGTCGGGATCTGTGCTGACAGCTAGCTCAGAGCTGGAGCCTGCTTCGGATACTTTGTCTCCCTCTCTCTCTGACGCCTGCTCAGAGACCCCTGCTCACGCTGCCTCTCTCTCTCTCAGAAATAAATAAAACATTAATAAATAAATAAATAAATAAATAAATAAATAAATTCCACTTCCAGGGGCACATGGGTGGCTCAGTCGGTTAAGCTCCTGACTTGGTCTCGCAGTTCGCAGGTTGGAGCCCTGCGTCAGGGTCTGTGCTGGCAGCTCAGAGCCTGGAGCCTGCTTCAGATTCGGTGTCTCCCTCTCTTCTCTCTCTGCCCCTCCCTGCTCACACTCTCTCTCAAAAATAAACATTGAAAAAATAAATAAATAAAAATAAATAAATTTCATTACCTGACACTTCTAGGGTCACAAAGTAAGTTTTAACTCTCTGATGGACTGGATTTTCAAATATTTGATATTTTCATTTCTCTAACGTAAGCATTCTAGTTATTTATATTAAAACTAATAGTATGTTTCACTGCATCATTGTTTGATGAAGAGCAGATGAGAAAAAACATAATTTTCATGTGACAAAAGACAGTTTACCTATGGAATAAAGAAATTTCTTATGCATAGTATGTTCTTTTGGCACCAGTGCCAATATGATATATTAACCACATTGCTCAATCTCTGTTTTGAAGTGTCTTCATCTATAAAATGGGAATAGCATATCTGTCTGTTCTCCTAAGAGTGATGTCATGAGTAAAATTCGCAACGAGGAAAATACATAGCACAGTATTTTATAATCAAGGTATCACCTGAAAGATTGAGATAAGAGCAAAAATGCAAAACACACTGTATAGAATTTAAAGATTTATATTTTTACAAAGAATGTCTGGAACGAGAACACTTACGAGGGCTGGTATCTGGGGCAATGACGACAAGGCCATGTTCTGAGGCAGCTTGATGATAACCAGACTTTGATATGAAATTCTGTTCCGTGCAAGTTAAACCTGAAGATTAGAAACAGTGTTATCTCGTGCTATACTGTGGATAGCTGATAAGATTTAATCCCTGTATAATATGGGGAAACAAACTCACTTACTATTATTAAAAAGCTTTTTTTTTAAAGAATTCTAATGAAAGTAATAAAATTCCCTTTCTCATAAAATTTACAACAGTATTAATCAAGAACTGTCTTAGGTTAAATGTTCCTATAGCTGTCCTTTCAAAGTTCCTCACTAAAGTTAATTACTGAAATCGTTAGGACTAGATGTATTTGAGAATCAGAATTTTTCAAACTGGAGAAAAGCAGTATGGTATAAAGTAAATGTTACATCAACCCCACTGGGTGCTGTCAAACATGCCAATTAAATGTGTTACTATTCCTGCATCAAAGCATAAATACTCACAATAAGTTATCATAATACTATAAATAACTTGTCATCTTTTATATGAGTAGTCCTCAGCTACAAAATTCTGCCTGATCATCTTTGTATTCCTCACAGATTTAAAAGAGAAATGGTCGCCATATACCTTCCTTAAATTTTAGCCCCAGTTTTTACAGCTGTTTCTTCCATTTTTCCTAGCTATATATAGGTTTTTCAGGCATGTGATAGAAGAGATGACTGAATTTTCTTATTCTAGGAGCCTAATACTATAATGATGTGAGAATGGCCAAGAATAAACTGGCAACAGATGGTTGAGCTAAGTACCACCCAACCTAACACCCCTTTTCCGGTGGCCAATGCTAAATATCCCACTACGTCTGATGATCAGCAACATCAAAGTTTAGTAGTAGGCATGACACAGTATGAATTAACTATGAAACACTTTTACAGTTTCTATTTATTCCCTAACAGCCAGTGAAAGGACTTATGAAGTAATTGCTAATGAAGACTAAATTCATAAATAATTATGAGGTACAAAGTTACAAGTATCATTGTATAAAGTGTTATGGGAGTTTATGTTTAAAGTGTGAGGACATACCTACTTTTTCTAGTCATGGCGGAGAACAAGGTCTTCATTTGTCCACCATGCTCCTTCCCAGGGCATCTTCTAGAGATACTGGAGCCATATCATGGTGGAGACCTGCCCCCAATACTGATACAAGGTCAGCAAGAGTGCTGACCCTAATATAAATAGGTTCAGAAGCAAAGTAATACTGTGAAAAGAGGAGGTTCTGGATTTCAGACAGGATCTCGTTCTAAAGACGTTACTCAGCCACTTACTGCCTAACCAAAATTAGGCAAGTAACCTGAATTCTCTGAGCCTCAGCTCTTTCATTTGAAAATAGTGATAATGCTGCTGATGTTTATCTCATACCGTGGCTGTGAGGATTAAATGTGGTAACATGTAAAAAGCCTTGAATTGTGCCTCAGACACAGTGCACAGTGTCTTACACTTAGGAAATGTCAGTGTTTAGAGACCAGAGAAAAATTTGTTTTATTCGAGTCAGAACACAAATTCCTTGATTAATGTAGTAGGGACTAAACTGTAGACTCTTAGATATAATTCTACCAGCAGAATTATTCTCACAAGTATAAAGATGGTTATAAATTAATATCCACTAGATAACTATATTTTCTATGAAGAGCTTTGGGGGATTTTTTGGTTAACAGCTTTATTGAGATAGAATTCATATGCCATACAAGTGTACAGCTCAATGCCTGTTGGTGTAGTTACAATTATGGAACACAACTGCTGTATAAGTTTAGAGCATTTCTATCATACCCCAAAAAAACCCATATCCATTTGTGGTCACTCCCTATTTTCACTCAACCCTCCCTCCACAGCCCTAGGTAATCACTTTCTGTCTTTATGGATTAGCTTATTCTAGACATTTCATATAAATGGAATTTAACAATATGTAGTCTCTTGTGAATGGCTTTTTTCACTTATCAGGTGTTCAAAGTTTACCCATGTTATATGTAGCATGTATAAGGACTGCATTACTTTCTGTTGTTGAATAATATTCCATTGTATGGATATACCACACTTATCATTTTGTTAGTTGATGGACTTTTGGTTTGTTTCACTTTTTTGCTATTTATAATACCACATGCATAACAGAATAAATAGACATTTGTATGCAAGGTTTTGTATGGACACATATTTTCTTTAAAAAAAATTTTTTAATGTTTTTTTTTGAGAGACAGAGCATGAGCAGGGGAAGGGCAGAAAGAGAGGGAGACACAGAACCAGGCTCCAGGCTCTGAGCTGCCAGCACAGAAACCAATGTGGGGCTCAAACCCACAAGCCATGAGATCATGACCTGAGCTGAAGTTGGATGCTCAACTAACTGAGCCACCCAGGTACCCTGGACACATAATTTCAATTCTCTTGAGGATACAGATGTTCTGATGGCCACCCTGACTTGGAAAGATGCAAACCACACCATCAGAACCATCTTTTACAATTTCAGTTTGGATTTCAGTTTTAATATTAGTTAATTTATTAACTTTAGGCCTGTAACAATTGACATAAATCCTTCTGTCATTGTTTTCCTTCAACCTACTAGGAAATTAACATGCTGAAAATGTTTTGCCATTATTTTTCATGTATATTCATCAGACAATCTTAACTTTTTTAAAAAGAAAACCAAGCATTGACTTCCAAGGTCTACCTGTTCTTCAGCATCTCACTAAGGAAGCTGTCCTGTCATGTGATGTAAACAAAAATTCTAGTTTTTATACTCATAAAGCTCAGATGATAGGTTTTCATAGATTCGATTCTGCTTAGGAATTTAGGGCTTTATTATTATAGTACCTCTTACACAATACCCTGGTACTTCTGATCTAGGTTATTTTTCTTTCAGCCAAGAGACAAGACTCCACAGCTGCTGCCAGAAACAAAATGCAAAAGAAACCAGAGAAGGACTAAAGTGCAAGGCTATGAGTCAGAAAACTTGTTCACTCTGTTAAGTGACCCTGGGTAATATAGAACTTCTCTGGGCCTATTTTCCAAGGTCATCTTCAGCTATACAATACTATGTTTCTAAAAGAAACATGCCATTTTATTCTTTCCTTTGCTTTTGGCAATTGCCCATTGCTCTTCTAGCAAAATCAGTTTGCTGTCTTCAACCACAGAAATGGGTTGAGTCACAATCACATAGGCACTTAATTTTTGCCTTTTACTTATTTTTAAAATGTTTACCTTTTAAAATGAAATCTTTATTTTAAAGATTTATTTTACTTATTTTCATTTTAAAACACCGGTATTTGGGGCTTATCCTTGATAAAACATATATAAGTGGGGATTTATTAAAATCAAAGAATAAGCAATGTTAAAGTAATAAGAAGAGCACTCGATATAATTTGGCTTCTGTGGACACTTTCCTTGTAATGTTTGCTTCTAAAGATAAAATACCAACAACATCTTGTGAAAGAAGTTAGCAGGGAGCTTCAAACTACTGGTGGCAAAGCCTTACTCTCTCACAATCCATCCCAGAGTTTTTAATATTCACCACTGATTAAGAAGCTTTAGTATTCTTTCGTAATTTCCCAGACTGTTGCCAGAGAAGACTAGTAGAGTCCAATTAAAACATTCTAGGGAAGACTCTAAGACGTTAGTTGCTGGTGGTTTCTAATTAGTGTATTATGGGTGCTCTGGTTTTACCTAATATTGTTTTGTTCTATTTGAGTGGTAAAGTCTCTACAGACTTCGGAAATGCTTAGGTAGGTACAAGTTAAATAAGTAATTTTTCTTTCTTTCTTTTTAATGTTTACTTATTTATTTTTGAAAGACAGAGAGAGAGAGAGAGAGATTGCATGAGCATAGAGGCAGGGCAGAAAGAGAGAGAGAGAGAGAGAGAGAGAGAGATTCCCAAACAGGCTCCACACTGTCAGCCCTGATTCAGGGCTCTAACCCAGGAACCATGAGATCATGACCTGAATCGAAATCGGATGCTTAACCGACTGAGCCACCTAGGCGCCCGAATGAGTAACTTTCCCAAGCTCTTGCCATGGAGTCCAGAATTTTACATTCTCTGTTAAATTACTTGGTTTAATCTTAAAAGAAGTAAAATAAATGTAATTCCATAGGGCTGAAGTTATTTTCAGGATACAGTAAGATTTGACTATACGAGGATCCCAAAGTCTTTTATAAATGGCTCCGAAAGCACACCAGGAAATCAAGATAAAAGAGTAAGATGAACCAGTTAAAAAGGAAAAGAAACTCCTTCCAAAACTCAAATGCGTAACACTTACCAGACAGCCAATATAGCGCAGGGCACTTTCCAGTTTCCGCCTTGGGTGGTAAGTAGATAGCAAATTTCATTTTGCAGTTCAATTCAACACTGTAATTTTAACAGCCACAACAAAAAAATCAATGCCTCAGAATGGTTAAGACAGAAACATAAAAATAAGTGTTTTAATGTAGAAAATAAGAACTCTACCAATATTTAAGGAATATATCTTGCCCCTTAAAAGAATGGGGCCAATTAACATACTAATCTATTAACCAGCCTGAGTCCTGCCTGTGCATGGCATGTAAGTCACTTGGTGGGTGAGGGGAATAAATTAAAAGAATAAATGTAACCTCCTCAATACAGCGCTAATATTACTAAAAGAAAAATTTTTTCTGTTTCTAAAGAGATGTATGAAATAACAGATCAGCTTTTATAAAAAATGAATTCTAAAGATCTTAAATTACCTATTTGCTCATGGGCACTGAAATTGCCACATCTTTAATTTGTTGTTTGTAATATTTTATGATAATCACTCATATCACAAATGAGGTAATTTTGATAAAAACTATAAGTATTTTCCCAAGTACGCAGTGATTTTGTGCAACAGTAATCTGTCATGGGCCTATTAAGGAATCAAATGGATGGAAGCAGAATGAGAGATATCTAAAACTGTATCTTCTTAGTAATTACCTGTCATGTTCAAAAACTTTCTGCAGTCCTCCAAAGCACTTGTTACTGGAAATCTGTTTCAATGCCATTCTTCTCCTATTAGTAAATATTAATCTCATTAATTTCTAGAACATAAATTCTTGAAAAATTTGAAAAACTGTTTTCAGATAAATTATCAAACATGCAACTGTTTTCCACCTAGAACATTTTTTCACATGCTAATTTTCTCTGATAAACATCATTAAGAAACAGACTCAGTTTCATGCACACAATTATACTTGTTATGCACTTTAGGAAACTTTAGTATTTTGGTATGTCATTTCTAATTTCTCTAATTTATTAACAAGTTTCTTTTTCTCTTTCTGGACTGCCCCAAATTCTTTTTTTTTTTTTTTTAATTTTTTTAATGTTTTATTTATTTCTGAGAAGAGAAGAGACAGCGTTGAACAGGGGAGGGTCAGAGAGAGAGGGAGACACAGAATCTGAAACAGGCTCCAGGCTCTGAGCTAGCTGTCAGCACAGAGCCCAACCCTGGGCTCAAACCCACTAATGGTGAGATCATGACCCGAGCTGAAGTCGGACGTTCAACCGACTGAGCACCCAGGCGCCCCATGGACTGCCCCAAATTCTTTTCAGAAAGAAGAAGAATGTAAACGAGCTACTAATTAACTACTTTAGCTTAGAAGGTTAAAAATTGCTGGGGTGCCTCAGTCGGTTAAGTGTCCGACTTCGGCTCAGGTCATGATCTCATGGTTCGTGGGTTCAAGCCCCATGTTGGGCTCTGTGCTGACATCTCAGAGCCTAGAGCCTGATTTGGATTCTGTGTCTCCCTCTCTCTCTGCCCACCCTTCACCACCCCCCGCCCCCCGCCACTGCTCATATATACTCTGTCTCTCAAAAATAAATAATATTAAAAAAATTTTTTTTAATTGCTAATACTTTACCTGTCAACTCCAACAAAGGAATTAAAGAACTGGTATTACTGATTATGGCTGATTTTAAAATGGGAGGAAAATGATGTAACAACAACAATTTTGCTAACAGTAATTGAAAACATTTATTGAGCGTGATTGCCACTCTGTGATATGCTCACCCAGATCAAATTCCTCATCCCAGGAAAGTTTTCCTGGGAAAGTAATGCACACCTTTTAGATCAACAGTTCTCCTTTTAAAACAGAAGTTAATTAAAAGTGCAGCATTTCATTGGGGGATTTTGAAGTTTGGTAACTCTTATCTCTCCAACAAATCTTTTAAGTGTTCATAAATAATTTTAAACTTAAATGGTAAAATGCCACATTATTAATTTTTAATGATACCAAAAAAAGCTGGAAAACAGTGGTTACCAGAAGTGCCCGTTGAGCAAAGAAGAACCTTCTGATGTGTACCTCTCAAGAAAGGATTCCCCTCCCCTCCTGATTATAGACCAGCCAAACACACTGAACAGAAAATCCTCAGAAACCAGAAATGGGTATTGCCACTCGAGTGGTCTTCTCAATGAATATGTTCTACATAATTTCTACTGCCATTCTCGGTTCTACAGTATACTGATGAGTTGCGGTGTTCGGGTCACTCTAAAAAAATACTTACCAATAATCTTAAAAAGTCAATCTTGGAAATGTCTTTACAAATTTTTTTAAAAATTTAGCTTAAATCCCATCTTTTAGTAATTTCCTCAATAAATCCAAACACTTGGCTTTGCACTGGAAAGCTGGGATTTGAACCAGGCAGCCTGAAGTCAGGGCCTCTACTCTGCCGCTATGCTCTCCTATTTCCTTGAAGGCTTTTTAAATACATTCTTCATTAGACACTCTGAGATGGACTAATTTTATAGGATTAGGGTTTACAATTACAGAGACACTACCTTCTATCAGAGGGTTATGCATTTAAAGATCAATTTTCAACAAATTCCTTACAAATGTTATTATTAACTTCAGCTATTCTTATCCATGATCCCAACTTAAATAATACACTAACAAAGACAGATGTATAATTTTAGTATATGTACATAAGACCAAGGAATAAAATATTTTTGCTGAATTATTTTATAAAGATGTCCTATATTCTTAAATTTCATAAGGACTGTCTGATTTCCCAGACCATGGTACCCTGAGCAGATATCTAGTACATAAAGAGATAACTAATAATTATTTGTTGAATTAATGAATCATTTATTAACTTCTGACTACCAAGTTTTAAAATCAGCTTGTCCTTCATCTTTATTGTTCTATACCTTATTTATTTGCTTCAGTAAATCTGAACTAAATCTATTTCTGAACTAAATCTATTTGCTTCAGTAAATCTGAACTAAATCTAAAAAACCACAATTAATCTATTTCCTCTGCTTTTTAAATGCTCTTTAATTAAAATTCAAAATCAAGTATTTCCCATTTGGCCAGAGAAAACCAAGTTAAAATACTGTTTTTAAACTGACAGAATGAGCTGAAAAAATAAAATCAAAGCCCTTGAAGTTTTTTTCCCCTAACCACCCATTTTAGAAGTTACTTTTGATTACAAATCAAGAAAAACGTTACACTCAATAAAAAATATGACATAAGCTAAGAACTAGATACAGTCTGATATATGAAATAATATACTAGGTGATTACAATTTTCATTAAAAATTTTTCTACATGAAAAATAACATATTTTAACCTAAATTATTAGATTTTTCACCAACTTTCAAAGAAACACATAAGAAATATAAATTTACCTGACCAAATGCTACTTGCTTTTGTCTGCACCAAAGGACAGATGAACCTGGGGAAAGGAAAAAAGACCACATGGTTTAGAAATGGGACATACTTGGGTGGGTCAGTCGGTTAAGCGTCCGACTTCAGCTCAGGTCATGATCTCACAGTTTGTGGGTTCGGCCCACGCATTGGGCTCTGTGCTGAAAGCTCAGAGCCTGGAGCCTGTTTAGGATTCTGTGTCTCCCTCTCTCTCTGACCCTCCCCTGTTCATGCTGTCTCTCTCTCTCTTAGAAATAAATGAAAAACATTAAAAAAAAAAACAGAAATGGGACATGCTTCTACAAGAAAAGTTATACAGACATATACAGTGCACTAGACATTCTCTACAGAAACATTTTCTTCTCTTGAGGCAGGTGGCTGTCTACTCTGGATTTGGCAGTGTGGAAGCAACACCACACCACCTCAGCCCTTAATCCAATTACCATAATTCTATTTTGCCACAAGGTCTGATGTTCCTTCGAAAACTTTTGGTGGACTGGTCATGTAGGTTTTTATTTGGTGGGTGGTGGTACACTCCTATTTGTTTTCTAAAATGGCAGTTTCAATAAACTTTTATGGCATGAGGAAAAGAATCTTTTGCTGGACTAAGATTCCTATGAAGGTTTTTTTCGATTTAATTAAATAGAAAAGAGAGAAAGAGAAGCCCAAGCAGGCTCCTTGCTGTCAGCACAGAGCCTGACTTGGGGCTCAATCTCATGATCCATGAGATCATGACCATGACCAGAGCCAAAATCAAGAGTCGGATGCTTAACCTACTGAGCCACGCAAGAGAACCCAGAAAAAAAAAGTCTTAAAGTGTAATTTTAAAGTATGAGACATAATCAGCTGCTGAGAGTGAAGAAAACTGGAGTGGTAACCAGAAGAGCGAAGAAAGATATAAAGCCTAGACCTGGCAGGCTAAAAGGTATAAAAGGAACTTGTGGAGCTGGGAGAAAAAAAGCAGGGAAGAGAAGGAAGGGGACTTCAGGGCTGCTGGATGGGACTGTCTAGAAAGGACGAACCGCTGAGAAAAAATGACTGGGCTCATGAATAATGAAGTGACTACGATACAGTAAGAAATAAACAGAAACGTACACAGTACGTATACACATAGGGGCGTCATTTATCTGCTGGGCATCTTATTTAATAGGTTCTTGAACATATTTTGTAGGAGAAATGGAGTGAAAGAGCAGGCTAGGATAACACAAAACAAAACAACCCTTCCCCAGAAAACTCACCAACAAAAACAGACAACAATTCCACAGTGCCAGCGGGAGTTAAGCAATTTTTCCTAAGAAGTCAATGAAATGAACACCCATATTTTTCAGAAAATAAAGGTTCTCTCAAGTGCACTGCCAAGCCAATCAGGGAAAAACTATTAAAGAGAAATGGTCTATTTACAAAGCATCCGTTCCCCCAGAAGGTCAATCTGTCAAATCTTAGGCTACATGCCATCCTTCTCCAGGCATCTGTGTTGTTATTTTTACCCATTCTTTTCTTCCTCTGATGAGTCTCAGAAGGTATCTCTATACCTCTTCCTGTGTTTTTGTTCTCCTTCTCTCCAACTCCTTGGACTTTGATCCATTTCTTCATTTTCAGTGTGTCCCAGCACACTGGCTCTTACGATCTACACAGGTCTCCCCGGCATCATCGGATGATGACACTGCTGACCATCACGTCTCTGTTCAAATCCTCGCCTCAGAGAGCACTCGGGATCCAGGTTCTCCCACTTCTTTCCCTCTCCCTTTACTGTTCACACGCACTCTTTCCCTAATTCCCCATTCCCTATTTTGCTACCACATTTTCTAGGTGGAATAATCTAAATTTGCATATCTAGATCCAATCATTCTCATGCATTAGTGCCAGAATTTAAATGTCTTGCTGGACCCTTCTTCCAAGATAGGCCACCAACTAGTAAAACTCAGCACATCTGGGGGTCTATGTAGCTCAGTCAGTTAACCTCTGACTATTGGTTTCAGCTCAGGTCATGATCTCACAGTTTGTAAGTTCGAGCCCCCATCAGGCTCTTCAGTGACAGTGTGGAGACTGCTTGGGATTCTCTATTTCTCTCCCTCTATCTCTGCCCTCCTGCAAGCGCGCTCTCTCTCTCTCTCAAAAAAAAAAAATAAATAAATAAATAAACAAACCATAAAAATTTTAAGGAAAAAAACAAAACCCCAACACATCTAAAATGAAGCATCTGTCTCCCACCTTCAAACCATTTTCTTCTTCCCTTTTCTTTGCCTCTCTTTTCATCCATGCCTACCTGTGTGAAATGTCTTACAGTTAGTTACTCCTTTGAATTCTCACTGCCACCATCCTAATTATACACAAGAAATGAAAACTTAGGCTCCTCCTTTGTTTCTTTCTTGTATGCCCCACTAAAATCAATATCCTGTATGGAAGCCTAGGGCTTTAATACATGTAACTTACTGCTAAATGGATACCTATACATTATGTATTCGGGCCTAACATGGCCTGTAATTGTTGGTCATTTTGATTTTTTTTATTTTTAAAAATTGTGATAAAAAACACATGCCATAAAAATTTATTATCTTAACCATTTTTAACTGTATAATTCAGTAGTGTTAATTGCGTTCTGTCAATTTTAAAAAACATGGTCAGCCTGCCCACATTGACTAACAGAAGGGAAATTCTGGCCATCTCCAGCCTGCTGCTACAGGTGTAGGGCGAATCCAGCTCACCTAGGGGTTGAAAACCACTAAGTTACTGCAATGAAAAAATATACGTAACTAATTATATATATATTTTTTCAGGCTTGATGCCATTAAAACTTCATAAAATTGAAACTATGAAGAAATGACAAAAGGTAGATAAAGATAAATAAAACTCCATATACGCTTTGGTCACATTTTAACTGTGGTACGAAGCAGAGTCACCTTTATAAAAATTCACACAGCTGGCCCATATACAAACTTTTAATACACCATCGGCGGAAAAAAATACAGCATCCACGTATTCCAAACACCTTAACTTCGCTCTCAAAGTTGTCTTCCACGATCCATGTTACTTTTCTGGCCTCACTTTCTATTACCTTAAGTCAGTCAAACTCAATTAGCACAATCCAAGTTACAGCCTGGATGTTTCTACTGGGTGGCTTTATCAATGCAATGGTTTAACAATTTCAGTATAGGCTCTGGGGCCAGACCCTCCAGGTTCAAATTCTGGCTTCACCACGTATATAAAATACGTATTAAATTAAATGCGTATATCTACGTATAACACATCTAACATGTATTATATGTAATACGATATTAATATTCGGGATTGCTCCGAGAATAAATGAGTTAATTCACTGTTGGTTGTAACACTGCTGGCTATGATATGCATGCAAATGTTAGTTATTATTCCAGCAACTTTGCCTTCCTTCAAGGTTCGCTCAGATGCCAGCTCCCTGGCGGTGCCTTCAAGGGGTGACTTGCGACCCCTCCAGAACTCGGAAAACATTTACGACACGAACAGACCCCTGAAAGGGGCGCTTGCCGGGGTTACTAGCGCTCTGGGGTCTGCTTCTCGATAAACTGGGTACACATCTACCTCGTGCAGTGAAGATCTGGTCAAAGGGCGGGGAAAATCTATGCATAATGGAAAGCGCTAAATAAACGCAGGGGAGGCCGCAGGCCCGAGCACCCCATTGTAGGAAGTTTGGTAAAAGAAAGGGATTCGGCACGAGGCTTGCGTCTGCAGCCTCGGTCCTGGCCTCGGTGCCCCAGCGCTCGGCCTGCAACCTCGGCTCGGTCGCGCGCGGGATCCCGGCCGCAGTTTCCGCGATCAAGCCTGCGGCGCCCCTGGCCTCCCCGTCCGCCGGGACCAGGCCCCGCCGCGTCGCGGGTGCAGTCCGAGCCGCAGGCGAGCCGAGGACTCCCAGACCTCAGCCCAGACCCAGTCTTACCTCCGGGATTCACAGCGGCAAGGACGGGGGCCGCAGCTGGGGCGCCGGGGCGGGGCCTCATCATGGCCGCCGGGGCCAACGTTTGGCGCAGCCCGTCTTTGACCACGCCCCCGTCGGGCCCGCCCACTTTCGGGCCGTTCCTCCTGTGTCCCCTCTCCTGCTCCGGGTCAAGCCACAGCCACGCCCCGTAGGCTCTGCCTGCGTGGTCTCCGCTCTCTGTCACCACCCGCTTCGCCGCCGCCCTGTTGTCGCCGGCTCCTCCTCCTGCTGCACCTGGCCTGCGTCCCTCGGACCCGCTAGCCTGCCGACCCAGGTTGTCCCCGGAGACCTGAGGTCTGACCCCACGTACTGGTGGAAAGGATTTACACGTAGTCTTTGAAGTTATTTAAAAATCAGATTATATTAGGGAGTCTGGGAGGTCCCAGTTCCCCAAATCTTTCCAGTTCAGGTATCGGATAGCTGGAGTTTTAAACAAGTGTCCTTTTTTATTATTTATTTATTTTTATTTTCAGTGTAGTTAACATAATGTTATGTTAATTTTAGGTATATAATATGGTTCAACAGTTTCTTATATTACTCAGTGCTCATCAAGATAAGCATACTCTTTTTTTTTTTTAATTTTCTAAAATTTATTTATTTTGAGAGAGAGGGAGAGAATCCCAAGCAGGCTCTGCACAGCATGGAGCGGGACCCCAAAAACCCTGAGATCATGATCTGAGCCAAAGTCAGACGCTTAACTCACTGAACCACCAAGGTACCCCTGGGTAAGCATACCTCATCCCTTCACGTATTTGGCCTATCCCTCTAACCCACATCAAGCATCATTTTTAAATCTCCAGTGCCGGACACAGAGAAGGCCCTCTATCAATGTTCTCTTTTCTCCCTTATGAATATAACTTGCTTAAATTAGTAGTTGCTGTTGATACGTTACAGCAAATCTTCCTTTGATTTTTTTGATATGATTTAATTGAACTAATTAGTGTAGTTTGTTGCCTTTTGAGAAAATTAAATCTGATCGCAGAAAGCTTTTTTTTTTTTTTAAACCAACAGCTAGACTGACAGTGTAAATGACAGAATCTGAAAGGCAGGACTAATTTCATGGGTGTGCAAACCATATAGTAGAACAGGGTCCCTATCTCAGAAGGCTCCTGCACTTGGTACAAGTCTCTACTTGGTGTAATTATTTTCTGTGCCACGTTATTATAACTTTTGTAAAGAGGGGTTCCCATATTTTCATATGGCATGGGGCCCTGCAAATTAGGTGGCTAATCCTGCTGAAAAGATCTCTGTGGGAGCTGACATTATAAACATGGATGCCAGAATCTGTCCTGTGGCCCAAGCCCATTTTGTAAATAATGACCTGTGGACTGAAACTTGGACCTGCGGATCAACTGGGACTCAGTCCGAAATTAATGTTTATCTAATGAAAATAAAGATTTTTATTCTGAGAAAATGAAACTGAAGTGATGTGAAATTTATTTTTACTTTCTATTGTTTTTATTTAAGTTTATTTACTTATTTGAGAGAGATAGAGGCACAGAAACCATGAATGGGGGAAGGGCAGAGAGAGAGAGAGAGAGAGAAATTCCAAACTATCAACACAGAGCCCATCATGGACTGTGAGATCATGACCTGGGCCAAAGTTGGATGCTTAACTGACTGAGCCGTGCAATGGCCCCTCTATTGTTTTTAAATATAAGTCACTGAAAGGGAATTTTCTTTAAACTGAGTTTCACAACAAAACAAAACACCTAGGTTTGCAAGTTATTTAGAAGTGATAGGAAACGTGAAGAAAATTAAAGGGTGTTTATTTAATAAATTAATTGCTGTGGGGTGCAAACTAACATAACAGCTGTGACCATAAAGTTTTTATGATAGGGTTCTGTGTTAATACAATGTGATAATTATCAGAACTAAAATTTCTTTTACTCCACATAATAAGCAATCCAGTAAATTTCTGTTTCTTCTTTAAAATATTATATATTCATATATATATATGCATGGAAGCAAAGTAAGCTGAAATAATACATTGAGATTGATGTTTCTAATGATGAAACTAGTAATAAATATGGCTGAATATTCACTACTTAAAGAAATAGACCAAAAATTACCTGATTTCAGGACTCTGTCTAAACTAAAATAAATAGGATATAATCTTAGGGAAGTAACAGAGATATAATGAGAGAAAAACTCTACTCTGTTTAAGGTCTTTGGGAAAAGAAATGGAAAAGGCACCATATACACATGAAGAATGATATAATCTATTTGACATCAACACTGTGCTACTTGAGAAGTGTTCTTATGGCTTTTCCACAGACTTGATTAGTTCTTCTCAACCTTAGCACCAGTGACATTTAGGACCAGATAATTCTTTGCTGTAGGAAACTGTCCTGGGCATTGTGGGATGCTTAGCAGCACCCAGCCCTTTGGCCCCTAAATGACAATAGGACTCCCTGACCTCCCCTAACCTCCAAGCTGTGATGCCCACCATGTCCCTAGATTTTGCCAAATGTCCACTAGTTGGTGGGGGGAGGGTGGGAAATTTGCCATTTGAGAAACCCTGGCCTAGGTAAACATTTTTCAAAACCCCTTTTATTCTGATTCTGTCTGTTCTCATCTACTGATATTTTAGAAAAGAATAGCCCTCATTATTATTTAATAAATCAGAATTTGGGTTAATAATGCATTAGTCTCTGGAGAATCTAGTTGGGGTGATTCATTCTCTAGGAGACTGCTCACCTCTGAATGTGCTACTCACCTTATAAAATTGAGTTTCTAAATATATAGACCAGATTTTGAACGATGAGAACTCAATCCAGTACTGCAAAGTGTAGCCCTATGCCAGTGTTCCATCTCAACATTGTTACCTTAATTCTAACCCAAGAGTTCAGTAGGATGAGTACAGATGTACCTTGGGAAAGATTATCTAACTCCCACACTCATATTGACAAATGTCCAAATCTCACAGACCGTTTTCCATTTTATTTTTCAATATCGTTTTTTTTTAATTTCTTAAATCCTAAAGCCTGTATTTCTTTCCCACCACACATTCATAGTCTCTGTTACTCCTTACTTGTCTCAAAAAGATCAAGAGTGGCATACAGATGGTGAGCAGATACATGAAAAGGTGCTCAACATCACTAATCATCAGGGAAATGCAAATCAAATCCATTAGATACCACTTCAAACCTGTTAGAATGGCTAGAATCAAAAACAAAAGAAAGTGTTAGTGAGAAGTGGGAGAAAAGGGAACCCTCGTGCACTGTTGGTTGGAATGTATATGGGGCAGTCACTACAGAAAACAATAGGGGTTTTCATTTTTAAAAATAAAACTACCATATGATCCAGCAATTACATTTCTGGGTATTTTCCAAAGGAAAAACACTAACTTGAAAAGATATCTGCACCCTCTAATGTTCATTACAATGTTACTTATAATATCTAAGACATGTAAACAACCCAAGTATCTACAGATGGAAGAATGGGTAAATAAAATGTGGTGTATATATATACAATGGAATATTAATCAGCCATAAAAAAGAGGAAATCTTGCTATTTGTGACAAAATAGATGGAACTTGAGGGTATTATAAGTGAAGTAGGTCAGAGAAAGGCAAAAACGGTCTCACCTACATGAATGTGATCTCTCTTAAATGTAGAATCTTAAAAATTAATAATTGAGAAGCCTGAAATTAAGTCCTCCATTAGAAACAACCTCAGGCTTCACGTAGTCCCAGTTCCAGGAAAAGCCTCAGCTGAAGCCGCCCTCAGATCTGCCAATCAAAAGAAATGCGTAACATTCCTGTAGTCTTTGTTGCGGACGAAATGACACAAAGGACAAGACACACACAAAAGACAGCGACACAACTCCGGCTGGAGGAACAATTCCATGCAAGCCCCTCTTGTGATTTATTTTATACCCCGGTAACTGGATACAAACTGAAATCTACAAGATGCATTCCTTTACCAATTAAGGGCAAGTAGCCAAACACATTTCAAGGACAGGGGGGAGCAAAGGGAGGAAGCGACCACAACATGTTTACTAAGAGGCCTGCCCACAACTCCAGCCTTCTCCTTACTTCTAAGGAGGACATGTTCCCTCGTTTGCGAGCGGACCATTAAACTTGGATATTGTGTGCAGGCCTCCTGGCAGAGCATTCTGTTTGCAGGCATGCTTTGCCCAGGCAGGGAGCCCCGTGTGCAGGCACATCCCCGCGTCCCTAACCACGCTTTCTTGTGGTCACTGTTGGGCTCCCATAGTCTTAGAGAGGAGTCAGGGCTGGGAACTGCAGATAGTTACTTTGTACAAATTTGCCAATCACCGCTTACAGAAGCCCCGCGTAGATTCTCCAAGCCTACCTCATAATTGGTCATTTTAAAAGACTCTCAAAGGTCATGATTGGGTCCCACCGAAAGTAATGGACGCCTCGCAGATACTGAATGGTCAAAACTGTTACTATGCTGTTACTATGGGCATTGTACAATTATGATTGGTGCTTGTGTAATGATGCAAAATGTACAACGTGTGCATGGTAACACCCCCACCCTTCCCCCATAAGAACCCTGCTCCCCATCGTTCGGGGCTTCACTTCGCTGCTGCTGTGCGGGTAGACAGGTGGGCCCCTGCTCGAGCTTGTGATAAAGACCCTTTTGTTCTTGCATCGGTGCCTCTGGGGACTCACGATTCGGGCATAACAATAATAATAACTCCAAACTCATAGATATAGAGAACAGATTGGTAGTTGCCAGAATTAGGCAATTGAGGGTTGGCAAATGGGCAAAAAGTCAAGTGGATTAAACCCTACAACTTCCTGTTCCATAGTTAAGTACCTGGAGGCCGTTCAAGATGGCGCCTAGGGAGACCCTGAACTTCTCTCTTCCCATGGACACAGGGAATCTGCAATTACATATGGAACAATTTCTTCAGAAAAAGATCTGACAACAAGCTGAGCAACTCTTTCACTTGGACAAATGGAGACAGTGAAGCACGTAGGAAAGGCTGAGACAAATTCTCACCTTTAACTTCCCTCCCAGGGTGACTCGCAATTAGAAGGAGTCCCACAAACTTAAAGTTTCTGTGTGAGGAATAATGAGTTTGTACTGCACATCAGCCATCC